CTTACCCAAGCATTCTCATCGTTTCGTTACTACCATTTTTTAGACATAGGGTTAAACCAATAGGCCATCTTCTGATAGTCCTAAGCTATGATGACTGATGGGATTAGTACATCATCATTTTACCTAAACTGACCTCCCATAGGCTTTACTCTAAAACTTTTAATCTCTCTAGAACTAAAACTAGAAAACATGATAGAAAGAATGTACCAAAGAAAACAAAGATAATGGATGGAAAGAAGAATAACAATAAGGCTAGAAAGAAAAGAAACTTGAGGCCAAAAAATTTAGATCACATGGAAAGCAATGAAAGCAAAAAAAAAAAAAAAATGAAGGCTCCAACAGCCCTTTATATAACAATGATTCAAATCAGATGAACAGCCCAGATTATGCCATGTGTTAGAACGTCAATTGAAAGATGTCTTTTCGTCTTTCTCGTTTTAGATTTTACTGCTTGAGCTACCTTTTTCTTCATTTAATGTGACTAGATCGGCCAAACCAGATGACTTCCTTGGTCAAACTAAACAAATTGGACAACTCTCTAGCCTAAACCAACCTGGCAAACTGACAGCTAGTTCACCCCCAAAATTCAAAATAGCAATTCAAATTTAAACTTATAGAGAAAATGCCTAAGTCCCACATCGACTAGAGAAACTCCTATTCCGATCTCATATTATCCTGAATAAATGACATTTCGATAACTTTCAAGTTAACTATGCACTCAACCCAATGCACACGTGCAAGATCAAACTTGCTCTAACTCGGACCATATTTCAAGGCTAGTTGTCCCTTGATGTTGACTTCCACACCGACGTCAAACTATAGGAGGTCCAATCTCACATTGTCTCCCTTCACTTAACCGACCTATACAAAATAAACTAACCGCACTCCCAACAGTCTAATACTCAAACTACTTGGTAGAGGGACAAAATGTTGGAGGCATTTAGTGATATAAAAGGCATAGTGGTCTTTTATCTTATTAGGAGCCCTTAATAAACAGCTAGGGGTAATTCAGACATTTTCACCGACCTGACATAATATGCTCAGTGCCATATTAGCTCTGCCACATCATTATTGTTCCACATTGGCTCCTACCTCTCTTCTATAAATATAGAGATTCAGGCATTATCATCCTAGGTTCCATCTTATCTTAACCTTTTATTTTTATCTCCTTTTGATCTTTTTAATCTTTATCTCTGACTTGCACGTCTAAACGTAAATGCAAGAAACACTCTTCACTTTTACATCTAACCTCTTTTTTCTAATTTTTTATTTTTTCAAAAACACCATCACATCAAAACTCAACACAAACAATTGTATTAGTTTAGGTTTCACTTTTAGTAGCACAAAGTATAATTAAATTTGGTATCCAAGGAAACATTTTTTATTTAGGAACCAAAAATCCCTATAATTTACATAAGGAGAAATTCTTGTATCGTTTTTTCAGTTAGATTGCATACTTTTTAATATCTTCAAAGTACTCTTCAACATTTAATTACTCTATGTCGGTAAAATAGATGATGCTTAGCTTCGTTTAATTTGAGCTTCTTTTTTTTTTTTTTTCGTTGTGTAAAGAAAAATCAATTCAATTCAAGTCAATTTAATAATATTTAAGAAAGATATATAATTTGGCTGAATCAAATGCAAAAATGTTTCTTGAAATGAATCATGTTTTTGGACAAGTCTTTAAATGAATGATGTTTTAAATAAATAAATAAATAGATAGATAAATGACACTTTGTGATTTGTGAATCACAAAATTTTGTCGTTTGCCAAGTTATATCTCTTCAATCTGACCGTGCATGGTTGTAAAGAAAGAAGTTTGATAAGTACGATGATTAACAATCAAGTTTTGGAGTTGGAAATTTTAGGACTTCAAATTAAGAAACTTATGCCACTATAGGATTTGCAAGTTGCATAATATAAGAATATATACCACAAAATACTCCTCTGTTTCAATTTTTTAAATGTTATTGACTTTTGCAAATTTTAATAAAAAAACTTTAACTTTAATTATTTAATATTAAAATTTAAATTTTTTATAAATTTAAAGTTTAATGAATTTTAATATCAAAAAGTAAAAAATAATAAAAAATTTAATTTTAAAACATAAAAAATAAAAATTTTAGATGTTCAAAAAAAAAGTTTTGAGGTATCTCAAAAAATAAAAATAGATAAAAAAAATGAGACAAAAATATATATAAAGAAAATTTTGTGAACCTACTAAATTTAAATTTTCACTATCGATTGATAGGATAATTATATATATATATATATTAATTATTTAATTAGTGTGATTTAAGAGTGTAAATTTGAGGTTATTTGATTGATTTTGCCTTTCATTCTTTCATTAATTATTAGAATTTAGTCATATATGTTTGAGATTATTACATAACAAATTTTTTTAGGCGTTTTTTTTTTTTTTTAAATTTTCTCACTTACGATCTTTGAATCCTCCTTAAGCCATGTACTTACCTTACTTACAAACAACTAAAGCATTTCACCTCGAACTATGATCATCACTTTTCATATGCAGCACACCTCATGCCATCCGAGGAAAGACATGTAGTAATTTTTTAAAAAAGGGAAATTAGAACATCGTTCTTATTTTGTGTTTGACGAATTACGGTAACACATACAGGTAATTATTGGTCAAGGCTTGTCAAAGTAATGTCATTTAATTAAATTTAACCATAAGGCAATAAAACGTGAAGCGAGATTTGACAGCAAGGTCACAGAAAAACAAAAGCAAAATTGTCAATATAAACATAATTTGAGTGGAATTTGACAGCAAAAAATCTCATATTTTCATGCAATAATTGCACTAATTTTTATTGATTAGTGTAAACAATTAAATTTTCGAAAAATATCATGTCTAGTGGTGAGAAGTGACTAAAGAATATAATTGATTGAGTTTGAGTCAATATAATACTAAATTTAAATTTGAGTTCAATTCAAAATTTAAAATTTGAAATTTGGTTTAAACTCAATCAGATTTTTTTTAACTTGAGCTCAATTCAAAATAAAAATCGAGCTATTCAAACTTGTTCGATTTGATTCGATTAACATATAAAAAAAATTATATTCTTATATTCGATAAATATTTAATTATTTGTATTCAAACTCAAACTCAAATTTAAAATATTTTATTAATTAAAATAATAAAAATATAAAAATTTAATTAGGCTCGTGAACTACTCGAGTTAAGTATAAAAAAACTCTAATTTGACTCAATTGATAAATTGAACTACTCAAACTCAACTTCGACTCAATAATAATTGAGTTGAATTCGAATTTTATACGAATCAAACTCAAATAATTTATAAGTACTAATATATCATTTATATCCCTATTAATAACTATTTTTCCATTACCAAAAATAAACGTGATTATGACAATCTCCCATGTTATTAGACCACGAAAATATAGGAGTATCTAAACCTGATTCACAAAATATTATTTAATTACCAGTGCATATGCCCTTACATTTTCGTTTCTCGTAACAAAAATGTGAAACAAAATGATTTTACATACATAACACGTTCTAACTTCTTGTCCTTTCGATCTTATTTTTTACATTAAAAATTGTAATTTAAAAATTAAATATTATAAATATTATAATTTAAATTTAAATTTAAATTTGTTAAATGTTATTTTTAAAGATGATTGTTTAAATTAATTGAATTAAATTTAAATTTTATATTTATTAATTATTGTCTTAGCCTTAAGCTTTCATTAAAAGGTGAGGATAACATTTGGTTCAATCGTTATTTTTTATAAGTACAACAAGAAAAATTTATAATAATATATGATTATACTAATGGTTTTCAACATAGATGGCTCAAGTAGCACAATTAGAAAATGAAACCAAAAAATAGTTAAAAAACCTAGTCTATTATATAGTCAGAAAAATGTCCGACGTGTAATTGCAAAATGCAATGTTAGAAGCGATCTATTTAAAGATCTTATTAAGGCATATATCTTACCATCGAGATGAAATTTTATTAATTTCTTTTAATAGTGTTGGATTATTAGGCCAAATTAATTATCATTTTATTTTATAAAAGGTTTTTCGACTGTTAATCTGGTATATGAATTGTTAAAATAAGCGTGTATCTTGATCACATATGTTCAATTTCATTATTAATTTTCTTTCGTGGTTCAAATTGATCATAAAGTTGTATTTTTAATTGAATCAAATTGGAGATAAGATGTCATCCATTTTTTGGTTTAGTGATTAAAGAAGTTTTGTGAGGACATAGGAGTCCTAATTTCGAGTTAGGATCTTCTTTCATTTCCTCCTTAAATGGGCTATGCCTCTCTTGAAAAAAAAAAATGGGGATAAGATTTAACATAGAATGTTAAAGGAAATGTTGAGAAATTGTAAATGTATTTAGCCTTTTATGTTATTTATTGTCAAAAAGAGAAACCATTTATCGGACTTGGCCTTAGGTTTCCTTAATCAAAAGGTTAGAGCAATATCTTTGGTTAATAGTTACATCCACCTCAGATTTGCTTGAATTTGTTGCGGCTTTTTCCTAAGTGATTTGTTTAGGTTTTGATATAAATAATTTTACATTTATTCTTTTTTTTATGGAATATTTAATATGATATCAAATTAAATGTTAGATTATTTTCCAAACCAATTCATTTTTCATAAATTATCTTATATCATTTCCTATCTATATCTATATTATTTTCACATCTCATCTACTTTTTACTCTTAATTTTCCACCCTAAGATCATATAATAATTTAGAGCAAAAAAAAGTTTTGTTCCGTTGCTAAAAGAACAACTCAATTATTAGAGTTTGAAAATTCCATCTTAAAGTTTTAAATTCAAATCGAGAAATTGATCTATATGGTAGTTTAGCATTTTAGCATAAAAGCGGCTGCAGTCGGTATGAATATAAATAATTAAATTTATATTGTCCTTAGGAAAAATTACCTTCCCTATAAATGCCACTCCTTTCGCTCATATTACTTGGATAATTGTAGTTGAAAATGGGGATTGCGCTAGTTTTCTCAACTCTTGCTCTCTCTTCCCTCCTACTCTATTTCATTCACGTTTGGCGTCGCTATCTTCCCTCTTTCATTCGCGAATCAACCGTACCCCAATATGTAACTCTCATCGCAACGCAATTGGAATGGGCTTGTGATTTCTGGCTTTGCTATTCCCTATTCCCAAACTACAATTACGTTCCAAAAATGCCAGCAGAAACGGATTGGGGGGAAAGAGCAGTCGAGTACGAGTGGAAGCGAGCAGCGCTTGCAGCGCTTGCAGATGCAGGTCAGTGCCCCGTCTGCCTATTCAGAGTTGCAGAAGGTGAGGAGATTGGTGAGTTGAGATGCGGCCATGTTTTTCACAGGTTTTGCTTAGAGACATGGGTTGGATACAATAACGTTACATGTCCCCTTTGCCGACTTCCTTTAGCTCCGACCAGATTGGTGTCTGATGATCAACTCGGCAGGGATGTTCTTGTTTTCGAGTTTTGCTCAGTCAGTTCTCGTGACCGCGGTAGATGGTGGGTACGATAATAAAATGATGTGCCTGTGTTTAAAGCATGTTGTTGCTTTTGGGTCTGTTCCCAAGCCTCTAGACTACTGGAATTTCAAGCTGTTTAATTTAATACTCAATTGTTGCTCGGCTGTCCTGTATTCTACCAAGGTTAGGAGTAAATAAAAAACAGGCTTATATTTAAATTCACAAACTATGCAGATTGAAGAATAATATTTTTGGTTGATATTTACGGGATGAGAAAGATACAATTTATTGATAGGTCAAAGAGAGAAAATCTCAACATCAAATTCATTTCAGCTTCTACTTATGCAACTATCATATTCATCAACGCCTAACATTTTTCATTCTCAGCGGATGAAATTCAAAAAATTTGCTTCAATTTTCTATGTCGTGTGTTTATTTAAGTACGATAAATTAAATGTTTAGATTTTTATTAATTGAGTATTAGCTTAAATAACATGTATGTTAATTAAATTTTTAAAAAATATAAGTTTGAGATAATTTAAGTGTATAACATACTCTTTAAATGTTAATTAAATAAATAAGAGTTAAAACTTTTTTAAAAAAAAGTTTAGTTTTCTTTTTATATTTAAATTGGATAAAATTTTAGTTAATATTTTACAGATAGCAGAACATTTATTAATTGTCATGTTTTAAGAAAATTATTATATTTTGTAAAAACAATAATTATTACATTTATTTAAGTTGGTAATAATGAATTAGATAACTTAGAATGAATTAGATAATGTTGAATACATAGAATGAAGACATTATTTAATAATAAGTTAAAATGTGTCATTGGTCATTCTATTCTTCGATTTTTTAGTCTTTATGGTATTATTTAAAAGAATTTAGTTCATATAATATTATTTTTAAGAAATTTAGTTCTTATAATATTATTTTTTAAGAAATTTAATCTCTATACATTGTTAATGATTAAACTAAAATCCTTAAAAATAATATTATAAGGATTAAATTCTTTTAAATAATATTAGAGAAATTAAATTCTTAAAAATTAAAGAGTACAGGGACCTATGATATATTTTGGTCTTAATAATATCAATTTTAATCACTAAGCACGGATTACTGTTCTCCTTTAATAAATACTAGAAATTTTATTTATGAACAAATAATAAATATTTATAAATTAATACATAATATCAATAAATCAACTAATTTATTCAATATGGAATTCCATTGATGCATAAACTAAAAATTAAAACTTATTTTTTATTGATTCAAAACCAATAACTTATATTTTTATAACATATTAAAACAGAGAAAAATAAAACTAAAATATAATAATTTTGATTTAATTCATGAGTATTTATATAATTCAATATATATGTTAAATTTAAAATTCAATTAAATATTAAGTATATTCATTCACAAGTAATTGGATTTATAAATATCGTAATTTTGATGAATGACTAAATTCATAAATAATTAGATTCATACAATTTAAATTTGATTTATGGTTATTAATAAATATGAATCTAGACTTAAAATATTAAATTTAAATAATATTAAATACAAAATCTATTTATCCACAATTAATTGGATTCATATATGCCATGAATTCGATTAAATTAATAAATAATTAAATTTATATAATTTAAAATAAAAATATTAATAAATAGTACACATAAATCCAATTAATTACAAGCCTCACAATCTTGTCTTATAATCCAACAAACACAACCCATAAAAACTCCCACAATGATTCCAACCAATTCAATCCAATCAAAATCCAACAATCAAAGACACTTTCTTTTCAATTAAACACCTTAATTGATAAAATGTCAACCAATTTTTGCTGAACTCAAACAATTGAAGGTAATGATTCTTTATATTGAAAAAAAAAAAAAGCAAAAAATTATCTGCAGCGCCATCCTCAGCGAATCTTTTTACCTATAAAAAGGTAATCAACATTAGTAGCATCATGCTAAAACTCAAAACCCTTTTTTTTTTTAATTTACTCATGAACAATAATCCAAATGGAACTGAAGGAAGAGGGTGGCAAAGACCAGGCAATCTCCCCCCAGCCTTCGTAGTTTTTATATATGTAGATGTATAGTGGTTTTTCTATTTATGATTCAATTTGTATTTCAAACTTTAAGTGAAGTTGAAGTTTATGGAAAGGAAGACCATTCAATTTGTATTTCAGAATAGATTCTTGCTTGCTTAGTGGTGCTAGATTGATCTAAGGATAAATAAATATATATATATAATATATATATATAACACCTATATTAGTGTTGTGAATCCTTATTCTCTCTCTCTCTCTCTCTCTCTCTCTCTCTCTCTCTCTCTCTCTCTATATATATATAATCTACTATATATATATATATATATATATATATATATACACACACACACACACACACACATATATATATACTAGTTTTTGGTACTACGTAATGTACATGTAATTTTTATTTTTAAAAAATAAAGTTTTTTATACTATCATAATAATGATAAATACTAATAATTTAATTTAAATTTTAGTATAATATAAGTAAATTTTGATCTTTTTATATAATTTTAATTTTAATAATTTTGATAAAATTTTAGTAACATTTGATACAATTTGGTAACTTTCAATATTAGTTTGATAACTTATTATATAATTTTAATAATCATTGATAAAATTTTGGTGATTTCTTAATGTAATTTTAGTAATTAACATTTTGGTAACTTATGATATACTTTTTGTAATTATTAATAAAATTCGTCATCATCTATTTAACAATAGGTTCCCGTAGGAAAGCACAAATTTAATTCTAATATAAGATAATTTTATTTTATATAATAACATTATTATTTCATTCAAATTTAGAATTTTTTCACTAAATTTTTTTATTTAATAGGTTTCGTAGTAAGTTTATCCCAGTCTCCCAATATGAAATTTATAATTTTGTTTTTGCTAGTAACGAAGGTTCAATTAAGTATAAAGAAAAATTTATCAATGATTAAAAATTAAGTTATCATTAATTTAATATTATATTATCAACAATAATTACTAAACTATCAATGATATACTTTTAAATTATAAACGATTTATTACTAAATTAATATTGATTTACTACTAATTTATGAATGATTTACTCTAAGTTATGAATAATTTACTACTAAATTGTTGATGATTTACTACTAAGTGATTTGGTATAAAGTTATAACTAATTTATTGTTAATTTATCGATAATTTACTACAAAGTTATCAGTGATTAACTAATTTACTACTAAATTATCATTGATTTACAATTATGCTATTAGTGATTTATTACTAAATTATCAAAAATTTACATCTAAATTATCAGCAATTGACTATTATATTATTATGCATTTATTATTATGTTATCATTGATTTACTACTTAATTTTTAATTATTTATACAAAATTATCATAGATTTATTACTAAATTAATCATGATTCATTATCAAGTTATCACTATTTTATATTAAATTATTCATAATTTACTATTAAGTTATTTAACTATTAAGTTATTGATAATTAACTATTACTATGTTATATTTATTTCCTTTTAAATTTTCAATGATTAATTATTAAATTATTATTGATTTACTACTAAGTATTTATGATTTACTACTAAATTTATCAATTATTTACTACTAAACTTAAATTAATTTATTATTAAATTATCACTAATTTACTATTAAGTTGTCATTGATTTATTATTAAATTATCAATAATTAACTATTAAGTTATCACTTGTTTTTTATTAACCAATCATTAATTTACTAATATGTTATTATGCATTAACAACTATGAAACAAATTTATAATTTTTAACTACTAAATAATAAACTTTGCCTTATGTTTCTATTTTTAAATATACAAATTTAGGTAAAAAAAATTTGTTATATAGATGATAAAAATAATGAGAACAAATTTACTAAATAAAATTTATAAAAATTAAACAAACAACAATTCTAAAAAAAATTAAATTCACAATAATCACCTTCGCATTCTCTATAAAAAATTTATTCTATTAAACAAAAGATGGTATTTTTTAATTATTATTTTATTCTTATTACCATCATTCAAAATAATTTTTTTGGTATTTTGATGCCAATCAACATTTTATTTGGAAAGAATAAAGAATATTTTGCATTGTCCAAAAAAACTTTCTTCTACTAAATAAAAATATGGTATATTTTTAATTGTTACTTCATTCTTATTCTATAATTGAAAATGATTTTTTTGATATTTTGATGCCAATCAACCTATTCATTTTGTAAAAAGTAAAGAATATTATAAGGGGTCATAACAACCAAAATAATATTTAACTCTATATTGTCTTCATGAATAAGTATGAACTATGATATGATCTTTTTCAAATGAAATGTTTGAACTATTTCTCTCAACCTATATAGCAACAATTTGATTAACCAATAAACAATTATAAACTCATTAATCTATATTAACATTTTTGCAATACGAATTTCAAAATTCTTTAAAAAGAAATATCTTTTAATCTCTACAAGACTTAGGTATAAGGATTAATAACTAAAATTATCATTAGTATCTTCATCACTTTTGCACTTATCACTACAGGGGTTTTGGATTTTAGTGGCATTTTTTTTTTTTACGTTTAGAGGCATTTATAAATGTCACAAAAAGATTTATGGCATTTACGAAAAATGCTACGTAGAGTGCTGGCTATTCACGCATTGCGGTAAATAGTGACATTTTCGAAAAAAATACCTTAATATTAGTAGCGTTTATATCTAAAACGCCGTAATTTTAGCAGCGTTTCTATCTTTGAGAAGTCTCTAAATTAGTGGCATTTTTATGAGAAAAAATGATATTGCTTTAGTGGCGCTTGTAACTGAAAATATTGCTACTTTAGAGGCATTTGAATCTAAAAATGCCTCTATATTAGCAGCGTTTGTATCTTTTAATCGTCGCTAATTCAATGACATTTTTATGAGAAAAATGTTATTACTTTAGTGACGTTTTTATGAGAAAAATGCCACATAATAAGCAGCGTTTGC